TTCGGACTGGAAACGTAACACCGCACTCCGCTAAACCGTCTCATGGCAACCTTGTCTCTCTTGATTAACAAGCGGCTGACATTTGTGCATTCTTCCAAAACAGTAATGCCCTTTATTTACATCCCCCGATCTGACCTGGAGCAGAATTTAAATGCCATTATAAATCCGGAGGGCATTTTAGTCTGTTACTCTAAAATTTTGCTTGCATCAGACCTGGGGCAGGGGTGGGGTGGGGGGCAGTAAATGTTGAACAGATTAGGTGCCGGTTGCTATAGATAAATGTGACCATGACAGAGGTCAGGTTAAGGGAATCGATCCATAGCGTTTGTGCTCAGGTGACACGGAGCACTGCCCCCCCCGCAATCAGCATCTTTCCCTGCCTGTGTGGGGCTCTCAGCAATGACATAAGATGATACATCGATCTACCGATGCAAATTCCAATTGCATGAATGTGATCAATCGTCTTCTTTCGTTGTCTCGAATTGCAGTCTGGATATCCGCCTGCCAGTAACACCGCGGAGCGCCTGTCTCCCGTATCCAGGCCACGCTTTTTGGGAAGGGAAAGGGGGGAGGAGGAGATGTTTCTATTTTCATTTCCATCGGCATCTCCTCAATGATATGGGGGTGGGGGGCGGGGCTGTACGTATGAATCAGAGGATGGCGGAAATCAGGACGACAGCCTGAGTTTTCCGTGGGAATCGGGCGGCTTTGCAGCCCTCTGCTCTGGGTCGGCTTCTCCCGCACGTCTCCCTTGCTTCTGCCATCACAGCGGCTCGTCTCGAATCTGATTGGCAGACGTGACGGGCTGCCAGGCTAACTGCTCCCGGGGCCTCTAGCTGCTGTGGGCTCTTGTCCTCCTTAGAAGAGATGAAGTCATTTGGGAGGCTCTGCCAAATCAGGTCCGTTCCCAAAGAAGTGTCTTAACAAGTCAGTGTGGACCTGAAGTCTCTGCCAGCCCATCTGAGTTACCGGCACTGTATCCCTAACCCACCCGGCCTGCCCCACCGCCATCCCACCTTGGACAGAAGGGGATGACTGTCACCCCTCTGACAGGGCGTGCTTATCACACGAGAGGCTCCGATCACCCTGATTACTGCAGCGGATTCGGGGGGGGGGGGGGGGCGTTATGCCACACTATGCCGTCGGCTACTGCCTTTCAGAGCAGCGACAGCATCAGCGCTAAAGATACACAATTAAAAACTGTCTACTTCAGTACTTTACTGGGGGTAACTGAGGCACCACATCTAACAGCGTGAAATCTGTTTCTCGCACAGAGAGGGGGCCGGCAGGAAACCGGTAACAGAATCGGCCCATGGAAAGCAGCCGGCAGGGGGAAGAAAGAGAGAGAGGGAGAGAGAGAGAAAGGGGGGAAGGGGGAGGAGGCCGAGAGAGAGTGAAAGAGCGCAAGCAAGAGAGAGAGAGAGCAAGGGAGAATGAGTGAGACACAGAAAGAGAGAGAAGAGAGGGAGAGAGAGCAAGAGACATGGTAAGAGAGAGAGAGAGCCAAAGGCAAACCCTTGAACACAGCTTCAGAACTGTAAAATGAGAATGGCAGGAAAAATCTGGGCATGTTTCCTCTGTGAAGTAATTCAACGTGCCTTGATTTAACATTGTTGAGCTAAAACAATGAAATGCAACGTGAGAGCCCTCTGTTGAATGGAGTGAATTACACAGCACTCCATTAAACTCAAAGAACAGATGCGGCTCGAGAAAGGAAAGGGAAGCAGCAAACGCCACAGACAGGCGAACTTCAAGCCACCGGGCCAAGATACTGGCCCCGACCCGGTCAGCCGAGTGCCTCTCGACAGCGAGCAGGATGGGTGTCTTTTGATCGATCTGTTAAGACTCTGGCTGATGATGACAAGGCCACGCGGTTGATAAAGAGAGCAGGAGGACATTCGAGTCGCATGGCTCCAGCATTAAACAGATAATGGGCAGAGCTCAGTGAGATGATGTTAGCGATTAACACGGTTGCCCCACGCCGGGAGAATATCCAACCACCCAAGACGTCAGCCTGGGCTATTGTACACCAGAGATTCAGGATTTTCAGCCGTCGCTCAGAATGGATATTGAATCTTTTATCTCGTTTGATTATCCCCACAAAAATGCATTGTGTATCACAAGAATTAAAAAAAAACACCGATGCCGTATCGCTAAGAACCCTGCTTGAACAATGCATGTCTTTCACAGGATCTTGGGAGAGGCAATTTTTCTGTAAACATTTGTCTACACCCAACATCACCCACAGTCCTATCTTGCCCAGCCATGGGAAATGGGTTCCGTTAAACGGCAACGCCGGCGTTGCATGACCAAGGCGCCAAGACTCCAGGAAGGTCGGAAGAGCTCCATGGCCGAAGACATCTTCTGTTGACTCTCAGCAGTTTTATATTACTAACAGATGTTTTGCACTTCCATCGCTGAGTCAGCTAACTGGCCATTATCGAGGCTGGCGGGGGGGGGGGGGGGGCAGTACCTGAACAGTTAGGCTACATGAAGAAGTGACATGAAGTCCCACAGAGACGGGGGCTTTTTAAATTCCCCAGAAACTTTTCAAATCTATAACATAGGATACAAAAACATTTTTGATACAATTTTAGACAGACACTGAATAGGAAAAAAAAGTCATAATTAATTCGTACATTTAAAATGGGGGAAAAGGGGGTTTCTAAATAGCAGCAGCATTAAAGATAAAGTGAAATGTGGACTCAGATGCTACAGGACCCAAACTTCTAACTCAGGCCGTAAAAAATGGCCACATAGCACGTGCACTGAGGTCCGATGCCCATAACCTCGCCGTTAGCTGGGGGACACCGGGACACGGGGCATGGGGAGGGACACTGGTGCCCTTCCGGGACGTCGTCTTCGTTCGCCTAAGCGAGCACCATGGAGATGGGAGCAGGGAGGCGACAGCCCAGCGAGGGGATGCCGGCCAGCTGGCTTTTTTAAAATATTATTTTGCCAAAGGTGACCTAACAAGTGAATATAGGACACCACCTATTTGAGAAATACTAGTACTTTTAATGACAATAGCAATAATAGAAGCAGTAACAAACATATACAGAAACCATATTGTTTTTATTATTATTTATGCATAACCCAGATCAAACTGGTTGTGACTGTTCTGTGGTTCATCATTTCTTAACCACAGCTGCTATAAAATTCCTACGTTTGTGCTTAATTTAATAAAAGGGCATGTTTTCACAGCTTCTCACTCTGAAAAAATTGCGCGACTTGTAAATGACCTTTTAAGTGTAAAAAACTATTAAGTGGGCCAGACAGTACAAATTTAGTGAAGAACTTTATGTATGATTAACAAAGGAAATGGGAAATGGCTTCTAATCTCCACCACTTCACGGGGGAAACACAAAGGCAAAAAAAGTACAATACGCATTATGTTACGTGTTGCTAGAAAGCATTTAGGAAAAATATGGCCAAATTCACTGACCAAATCAGTCTGAGTGACTGAGACTACACGGCTACCTAGTTTAGGATGATGCTGAAGCCTGTATTTATCTTTATTTTATTTTCCCGCTCGTGCTATACAGAACACTGACATTTTTTAAATTATAAAGAAAGCTTTTCAGATAAATGCAAAATGTGTCTTCAATATTTTACAGAGTTACAAATTATGAATCTGTAAACCTATTAAGCATGAGATTACAAATAAATGACGTGCCTGTAAATGCAATGGTTTACACTATCCTGTCGGAGTATTCTACCTATACCTGAGTTTGCCATTTAACTTGATTTTTTTCATTCACAAACTTTACATATCTGAAATTTTGCAAAATAATACATCTCGCAGTTATTTTATTCAAGACAGACAACAAATGGGGGAATCCAAAAGTTCTCTTTTTTCTTTAACGTGTTAACATTAAAATGGATGAGAGACAGAGCAGGCATACGGGAAGGTATTGATTTTATCACAAACCCTGCAACTCCCATCCTAGTAGCGTTCACTTGGCCAGGGCAAAGTTAAAGGGATAAACGGGCTCATTCTTGTGAAAGCTGGTGACAGACAAATATATAAACTGGAACAATTTACGTGCCTGTCTCATTCAAGGTCATCCAAAATAACATTCTGCACAAAGTGATCGGAAACGCACTTTAGCTGCGTGCATTTCTGTGGATGCTTTTCGGACGTCCACAACCGGCCGGCCGGGAACCGATTATCCGTCACTAGGTCCCGGGTGCGATTTACGTACGATTAAGGATCGCGCTGCTCTTCAATCGGACTTGCTTATATATTCTATGAAATGGCTACGTTGTAACGGAGACCCCCTTTCCCTTAGAAGAGCACTGCGCCAAACACACGGCATTTAATGGAATGTTTAGAGTGCGTAATGCTAAAGCTTTTTGGCGAACGACACGGCGTTGTTTCCAACCCCTCCTCTACACAAACTCGCAATCCTTGAGTGTTTGCTCCCAACCCTCATAGGCTGGGGGCTCGCAAAGTAGCCGAGTTTGTTTCCGGTAATAGACGAGTGTTATCGCAGCAGATTTTCGTGTGAACGCCTTTCACCACACAGTCTCCGAGAAAAACGCTCCTCGTTTCTTAACTAAGCCGTTTTTCTACAAACGCAAAAGCGGCGCCTTTGCACGAACGGCTCTGGAAGCGTCCGTCAGCCCCCTAAAAATACCGATGGCATTGCCAGTATAGCTACTTTACATTGTTGCCAATGAATGCAACTTACATTTTTATAATTCAAATATGCATTATATATATAGCGTTCTATATATATAGACGAGGAAAGCTCGAGGCAGCCTTATTATTGAGATCACTGATTATGATGAAATAATTCAAACAATTAACTAGTTCGAAATTCGTACATTGAATCACGCTATTCCTGCGTGCGTTTATATATAGAGATTTTTTTGTAGGAAAATTTTCCCGATTCCTAATCAGTAAAGTTTATCGACATTTTTATTAGATTTTATAGCATAAAGAAAACTATTTCAGCGTCCGAAAGACTTTAGATTTCAGATGGTAAGAAACTTACCGGGGTGACAGTCGGCCCAGAAAAGGACGAAGGCTGAGAAAATCAAAGACAAGATCCACCAACAACACGATCGCAGTAGCCTCCGCATGTCAAAAAACACATCGAGAGCACAAAAGGCAACTGCTGGGAGTTATCCGTCTAAAATTTCAAACAAAGATTAAGAAATTATTTGAATAATAAAAAAATAATAATAACGCCGGCCCCCTGCCAATATAACTTGCTGTTGCCACAATCACTAGCCTCAGTTTCGAAGGGTTTGTTAAGTTATAATATGAAGGAATAGTTTTTTTTATTTTAGAAAATCGCATTTATGCGACAGCTTCTTCATAATTTCATAATCCTCCCCCCCACAAAAAAAAATGCAAGGGACAGTACTCAAGCCCTAATCAGTTCATTTATCGTGGGAGGTAAAAAAAGAACGCTGGCTTTAGTCCATGCAGCGGATGGCTGCAGCGGTTCTTGCAAAAACAGAAAGGGAATAGTTGGAGCAGAGCTGGGAGCTTTCCATTCTTCCATCCAGGAAGTAGCATGTGAGCCCGGGTCTGGCAGAGACTTTAAAACAGGCTTGGGAGAAAAATTCAAGGGAACGGGAGGGAGAGTCGGAGCATATTCCTCCGGATCCTAGCGCCGAAGAATCAGGCAACCTGCGACTCCCCTTGGTTTTCGGCCGCTCCGACTCCCCCTTGGTCTGCGAACCTCTAGTCTAGTGCGTCTCCCTTAGAGAGAGAAACCACTACGTGAATAAAGAGCAATCAGCCGACTATTTAAAGACGGCATGTCTGACATTTAAACCAATAGCTTATTCCCCAATTCCCTAACTTCGATTAACTTACACGTAAAACTCCCATTCCTTGTTTCTATAAACCACTGCTTTCTGTATCATTTAAAGCCGATGACTATATGGGGAGGCGCTGGGTGTGGATAACATTTATTCGTACCGCTGAACCTTATATATTGTCTTGCCAAAACGCTGTGACCGATTGTCTTCTGTGAAAATTAAATTAATTTATTCTCCTAAAATGCGAGAGCACCAAATGCATTATTTCGCAGTATTTCATGCGAATACACCTCGAATTTGCCTGTGACCATAATTACAGCTGGTCATAATTTATTACAAATATACTTTTTTGCTCTCTCGCTCCTTCTCTTAATGTATTAAATATTAAACAAATAAACTTTGTGCCTTACAATTGTCGTGGAAACCTCACAGCGAAAGAAAAAGACAAATTAATACAACGACCTTGACAGGGACGCTGTTAATTGATTAATTTGAATTGCATACCAACAGCAAAATCACTCCCTTGAGACAGTACCGCAGAATTTAGGACGTCTGCGTCTGAAAAAAAGTGAAGTATGAGCTGCAGATTAAACAAGGTAAACTGAGAAATTAAAAGCAATCAATGTACATACACGTTTGATAAGTCGCATCCTACTAAATTCACATGATTTAAACAGTTTCTTATTACAAATACGTCATTAAAGCATAACATTCACAATTACATAATTAAAACGATTTTGGCTGCATATTTGCACATATATTATGTTAGACTCCATATTAAACTTGTGTGTATGTGTGTGTGTGTGCGTGCGAGTGAAATTCGAGTGAATTTTTACTAATGCTTGGCCACCGATTTGACCAATCAATATGTGTTGTGTCACAGTCTGGATGTGAAGTGGAACCGTGCCTCTGTTAGCAGGTGGGAACATCAGGGAGTGAGGGCAGGCAGCTCCACTGGCCAGACAGACAGACTGACAGATCAGACAGACAGATCAGACAGACAGATCAGACCAGACCAGACAGACAGACAGATCAGACAGACAGGCTCTGTTGTTTGCTGCTCAGTCATTTTTGGTGTTTTCGGGCAACATCTAGCCCTTGCCTGATATTTTGTAGTTGCTTAAGTGTGTTGGATGTTTTTTGCAGAGGTGTAAAGTTCGGGTCCAGACAGTACAAATCCAGACCAAGATTTTGTTTCAGCCAACCCGTTGAGTAGACTGTGAATGAAACTCTTTATACTCACCTGGTTGGTTGAAACAAAATCTTGGTCTGGATTTGTACTTTCTGAACCTGTTGTACATGTTCACCTTCTTCATTTTTCTTACATGTCTTGCGTTGGGAAACTCCAGCCTGTCAATGACCCCAGTCCTTTCTGTTCCATCCCCGGCGGCTAGAGATGTGGAATGTTCTATAGCAATGCAGGTATTCAGCAAGAACCCAATGGTTGTGTTACCTCCCCATCTCCAGTATCATCATGCCATTAACTAGCTAGCACTCCCCATGGCGGCGTCTAACCATAGGCTGTGTCTTTTCCCTCTCATCACCTTTTACCTGTTGAAAGGAATTATGACATCAGTTAGCAAGACCTCATAGCCATTAAGCTAGACTTTGAATGTCGACACTGGCTTGTACAGTAGCTGCTAATCACCTGTTGCAGGTCCACTGACCAAGGGTCCCAGTTCACTTCCTGCATCTGGAGGGAGTTTCATACATTCTTGTAAGTCACAGACAGCCTTTCCGCAGGGTGCTATCTCTAATTCAACGACCTTACAGAAACTTCAAATCAGGAATTTACAAGGTTCTTGCCGATGAACATGCTGATGATGATTCTCTTATTAGATTCTCAGATTTGGTAGATTTACCCTGGGTCACACGCACCCAGAACTCCCCTGTCAGCTCAACGACCAATTAGACGCCTTTTCTTTGTGTCTTGCAGTTCCAGGCATGTGCAGTTCCCCCTCAGCATGTCATGTATCACATACATCCTGTGAACAGCTCAGGAAATGCCAAGCAGATGAAGACTGTTGACCTGGCCATTTGGAGTGAAGATCTTAGATTTCCCAACTCATGTAGGAAATTCACACCCAGATACATTTGTCACTTTCTGGTAAAAAGTCAACCTTGTAACATATCACCTCAAGCTACATTCACAATCTACTCTTCCATCCATGATTATTTAAAACTGTCTACACCTTCTGGAGGTCAGGTGGAACGCGCCCCTGGAAACAGGCATTCCGGGAAGGAATGCAATCAGAGACCACCAGGACGAGTCTGCAGCAACAAGCTCTAGTTGCTGTATGAATGGCCTGGAATCCATTGGTCAGTCATGTTGGTGGTTCCAGACAAGCCTTTGTATGATATTTTGTCTATTGGCTCCATGAAGATTGTTGTTTGGTTTTTCATAGTTACTCTAATTTACTTTCTTCACTCTGGCTTTCATATTCCTATGTGTTTTGGTTTTGCTTCTTGTTATATGAGTTGTTGTTTGTTGCCCTTCAGAGCAGGAACCATTTTCCCTCCACATCCCAGTCCTTCTTTATTACTTTTTAAGCTGAGCTCTCCTAATTATCAGCGGCCTGGCTCCATTCACACCGAGTCCCCGCATAATCTGTCGGCAAAAGTTACCCGCCTCCAGCAGAAAAGCTGTCAATCTCAGCAGGTGGCTCCTGGCTTGGGCTCCCTTTTCTTAATTATGCTTCGTGTGGATGGTTTCTCTATTTGCGCTTAGCTTTGGGTAAGAAACCGCTTGCCGTTTTTGACCAGTATTGTCTCGTGGTGCTATTTGTTTGAACCAGTTGTAACAAGTGGTTCACTTAATGTAGTTATTAGCTGTCTTTGAGTGGGGGAAATGTTAAGCTCCTAGAGAGTGACTATGATCTCTATGTCTGTTTTGTCAATGCCCTCAAACACAATGACTGTCACTAAGCCAGGTCATTTGGGAAAGGATAGTTTTATTAGCTGAAATAATGAAATACTTGGAGTTGGGTATCAAATTTTGCTGTTTAAAATAAGTAACATATACATACTGTAATCAGATTATGGTTTCAAAAACATTTTTATTCCATCTAATCAGACTGGCATGATAATCCATCATTTTTTGATGAGCTTTTTATTTGATATTTTGATGGTTGGGCATGACATTTTTGTGTTCAGTACAATATCGCATTTGATATCATAATTGAACTTCTTACCAGTAAAACATATTTTTAAAATAAGGAAAAACTATGCAGAATATTACATAGTTGTTCAAATTACGTCTTCTTAGACATTCAAATAATCTAGTCTAGCAATTTCCATCCAAAACCTTGTAAATGATTGCATAGGTAGGTGTAGCCAATGAAAATGTGTGTAGCTTCTCATCCGCCATTGGCTCATTGGGCAGCTCTGCTGGCCTACATCCCCAGGGTAGCAGAACACCAGTATCTTCTCACAGTCCAAAAGCATGCAATTAGGTGACATGGTGTCTCTATATTCTGCACAGTTGGTGGTTTTGTGTGTTTGGTGGAGTCACATCTGGTCCAGGCTGGTTCTGGGTTTCCATCTGTTCCTGGGTGTCCATCTGGTTCTAGGTTTCCATCTGGTTCAGGGTGTCCATCTGGTTCTGGGTTTCCATCTGGTTCTGGGTGTCCATCTGGTTCTGGGTGTCCATCTCCCTCGTGCTCCCAACACGCTCCAAGCCTCCCGTATCCTGCACTACAGAGGTCTTGGTGTCCGCAGACAGGTAAAATGGCCTGGGGGGTCACCAACACATTTCATAATCTGTGAACAGAATGTGCAAACAAGAGGGGTCGTAAAAAATGAAAATATATAGCTATGTTTTGGAAATTAACCAACCTTTCCACAAAAACCCCCGCTCTGCAACTGGGGGTAGAGAAACCCTACTGTACCTGGTTAGTAGGCTGAGGATGGATGACTGAATAGTGTTAGCAACAAGACATGATGATGATAGTAATACAAATATTCAAGTACATATACTCATTTTGCCTTTAGGACGATGAATGAATGAATATACCTATTACCTTGCTTAGAAGAAACGTATCATGGTTATTATCTGAAGTTTTTTTAACACTGAAGTATTCTTGCCTATTCAATGAGTTTTTTACTTTTTTGGGGATACCTTAGATAAAATGCTAAAGATTCATTAGGTGGCATAGTACAGGATACACTAGCAAGGACACATTAACGATTAAGGCTACATCAAATTAATTCTCAATATTTGCATGACAGTATCATGAAAAAAAAGCTTTATTGAGGAAATAAATAATAAAATTTTTGAGAATTGAAATTTTAACCTTCTATGAAAGAAAATC